TCTAATTATAATGAGCAATCCCACTGACTATAACCTGAACAAAAGGTATAAACACTCTGGTTATAACTAAAATGCTTAGCATCCTGGTTAACAGTGCCCCTGTTCACCCTGCATGGTAATTCCCTACAAGACCTCAGCTCTTTACTTGTTCCCAGGCACAGCAGGATCCTAGTTAGTACCTCAGCTACAGCTGGCTTGTAGGCCTGTGTGAAGTGACTAGTATTCACTTCAGATTTGGCCAATTTTCAGGGGACAGTGATTCGATTCAGTGATTTGAATCACTGTTCCAATTCGATTTGTCCAAATCGGCCAGGCCCATTCTCCACCTGCCCCAGCTCCCAGCACTTTGAGGGGGAAAAAAGCCCCAGCTCACCGGGTGCTGCCAGGCGGGGGGGGCGGTGGTGATCCCCACTGCCCCACACTGCATGGGGGGGCTCTACATGAGCCCCCACCCCCCCTTGCTCCCCTAGCCCCCTCATGGGTACCCTGCCCAGGCCAACTCTGGCCCTTTAAGAGGAAAAAGAAAAAAAAAATGTAAAAACCTCCAGACTCTCTGCTTCTGCTGGCGGGGGGTGATCCCCACTGCCCCATGCCATGTAGGGGGCTCTGCATGAGCCCCCAAAGCCTAGAGACTGCTGCAGGATTGGTGAGTCCTGGGGCTTTTCTAGGGGCCCCTCATGGGTACCCTGCCCAGGCCAACTCTGGCCCTTTAAGAGGAAAAAGAAAAAAAAAATGTAAAAACCTCCAGACTCTCTGCTTCTGCTGGCGGGGGGTGATCCCCACTGCCCCATGCCATGTAGGGGGCTCTGCATGAGCCCCCAAAGCCTAGAGACTGCTGCAGGATTGGTGAGTCCTGGGGCTTTTCTAGGGGTTTTTTTTGTTTGTTTGTTTGTTTTTCTTAAAGGGTCGGACCTGGCCTGGGCAGGGCACCCATGGTGGGGGCTGGGGGGAGTGGGGAGGGTTTCTCTGTACTTAGTGTGCTCACTCCACCAAAACAGTAGCACCTGGAGAAAGACCTACTTGGGTAGTAGGCCTGTGCAAAGCGGCTAGTATTCACTTTGGATTCGGCCGATCTGGGGGACAGCAATTCGATGATTCGAAATCACTGTCCCAATTCGATTTGGCTGAATCTGATTCAGAGATTCGGCTAGTGCTGAATCTCCAAATCAGCCAGGCCAGGCCCATCCCACGCCCCTCTCCCAGCCTGGCACTTGTAAAAAAAAAAAATAAAAAAAAAATACCCCAGTATACCAGGTACTGCTGGGCAGGGGGCCCGTGCTGCCCTGTGCTGCGGGGGGGGGGGGCCTCTCCACGAGCCCCTGGGCCCCCACACGAGCCCCTGGGCCCCCACACGGGCGCCCTGCCCAGGCCAGGTCAGCCCTTTTAAGAAAAAAAAACAACACAAAAAAAACCCCAGGACTC